TTGCGAATGGGGAAGCGAGAGTGGGCGTCACGAGTCTGCCACTGTGAGCGGGCAGTACTGTCAGCAGTCGCAGCAGGGGCAGGAGAGAGTCCTAACGCATGATCATATAGCGAAATATCCTCCCTAGCAGTGAGCTGGACGAACAGGTGGAGGTCCTCGAGCCAGGTGTCAAAACGTAGTGGGCGGCCCTCAGTATCGAAAGCTAGAACTGCAGGACTAGCCATAGTTTCAGTAGGAGCAGTAGGAACAGTAGTAGCAGTGAAACAGTACAGCGCGACTCGGGCAGGGCGGCGCGGCGCGGCTCGGGCAGGGCGGCGCGGCTCGGCTCGGGCAGGGCGGCGCGGCTCGGCTCGGCTCGGGCAAGGCGGCGCGGCGGCGTGCGGCGGCTGCGCGCGCGGTCGTGCGGGCGGCCGTGCGTCCGTGCGTGCGGTCGTGCGGCCGTGCAGCCGTGCGTGCGTGCGCGCGGTCGTGCAAGCGTGCGTGCGCGCGGTCGTGCGTGCGTGCGTGCGGCCGTGCGGTCGTGCGTGCGTGCGGCCGTGCGGCCGTGCGTGCGGCCGTGCGTGCGGTTGCGCGTGCGGCCTAACGTGCGGCTGCGCGTGCAGCGTAGCGGGCGGCTGCGCGTGCGGCGGACGGGCGGCGGTGCGCGCGGCTGTCCTGAGAGGGGCGCTCGACGGCGCGCTAGGAGGGGCGCTCGACGGCGCGCTAGGTGGGACGCTCGACGGCGCGCTAGGAGGGGCGCTCGACGGCGCGCTAGGAGGGGCGCTCGACGGCGCTAGGAGGGGCCCTCGATGGCGCGGGTAGAGGCGCAAGGGCGCGACGGAACGGTGGGCCCTAACCAACGTCGGTCCTAGGTCCTGACCTAGGCGTCGGATACCATGTTAGAAACTAGAACTGAACGAGAATGAATGAACTAGGCAGCAGGGTGATACAAGTAGGAAACCCTAGCAATGTGTTGTACTCTCTAAGGCTAAACTCACTATAGCCTACACAATATAAACATGTACAATGTTTGACAATGCACTCAGCTTGGCCTAGTTACAGGAGGCCATCACCTGCTAGCGGATTGATCCTTGTTGCTTGCTTTGTGTGTTACAACGCATATATATTGTGTGAACTTATTGACTGGCCTTGTGGCTTCTTTGCCTTAGAGGCTTGGACTAGTCATGCTGCCCTCTGTTTGCTTGCTTGTTGTTGTTGTTCATTGACTACCTCTTACCCAGCCTAAGGTGTGTGTCAAACTATATTTGTTCTATTGTTTATAGGCTAGGTTTGTTAGTTAAGGGCACTCTTTAGAGAGTACAACGCCTTATACTTGTGCATTCGTCCCTCTCGATAGTGCACATATTTTCGCCCTCTCGACAGTTTTGTGCATTCTTTCCTCTCGATAAAGCACACATTTTCTCCCTCTCGACAGTTACACCAATGGCTACACCAACAACGACAACGTCGTCCCGACATGAGAGTGTGGGACAACTCTTGACCACTGCTAGTAGTGGCGTTGCGCGCGAAGCACACAACACGATACAATGCACTACGAGGGAACGATTATGGATGAGTCACCACGTGGGGATTGCCATTGTGTCAATACCACGATGGAACCTAACGATGTTGCAATTACGACGCCCATGCTGCTCAAACCGCAACGCCCCCGATGTTTCCATCCCATTCAACGGGGTGGTCTGACACTGAAAATCGTAAAATTTCTTGATGAACTTGCGATGGATTGGTAACTTGCAATCGTCATTCCGCCAAGCGAGTATTGTCGTAAAGGGAGTGACCTTCCAAACTTACGATCCCTAGGGCGCCATCGTATTGCGATGTGACCGAGTGCCATACGTGGGATGCGTGGTGCCCAAGTCGACGCGGAAGATTCAAGCCAATCACGGCTTCCATTTCGGGACGTCAAAAGCTATGTACTTGGAGACAGCTTTGATCGGTCCGGGACTAAATGAGCGGATATTCGGTGCTATACGAGCAAGTGGGCTACTTGCATGAGGCAGAAGGAAATGAAGCCCGAAATGCCACAATAAATACTGCTCCTCGGCGTCACCAACTTCAATGGTATCGTAGCGATGGCGCAAAAAAATATGTTTTGTGGGACGATCGAAACCAGGGTTCTACAATAACTGGGGACATCGGACTCGGGGGACAACCGTGCATGCCACGGTGGGCGTTGTAGCCATGAATGCCGCTATCACGCTGCTCTACGTACACTGTGCAACCAGCTCGGGCATCGTAAAGGTGAGTTCTTGAAGAAGAAAAGCCAGTCAGTTTGACTTCTAGCCAGTCAGCCTAGAAGTGAGTAGTAGACGGGCCCTTTTACTGATGAGAATTGCAGCTCGCCCAACCCAACCGACCCTCATCAGGTAATAGTGTCGATTCATACGGTTTATTACACTCGTCTGACTAAGGAGGGCACACAGGTAGATAACCCTATACTGCGTAGAGGGAGAAATCACACTAACTTAGTTAAGATTCCACGACCTGATAAACACCATGACAGCTGAAAACTGCAACTGCCCTTATGGCCCGGGGCTTGCATGCAATATACGTGCGACTAGCCTTCGGCACGTCGCTTGCTATATAAGATATATGCGCTTTTGACCACCGTCACGTGGCGACTCAACCGCAATCGTTCCCTTGTAGTGTGTTGTACCGTGTACGTCATATGCTTCGTGCGCAACGCCATCGCTGACAGCAGTCGAGCGTTGTCCCACACTCTCATGTCGGGACGACGTTGTTGTTGTTGGTGTTTCTGATGGTGCAAGTGCAGATGTTGGTGCGTTCGGAAGCGAATTCAGCTCTGCCGTGAGTATGGCGATTTCGAGTGAGTTCTCGTGTAGTTGCCGTATCTAACCATTCTAAACTGTGTTTTTTTTACATGCATTTTTCTTACAGCCAGAGCAACTCTAGCGCGAAAGGGTGTACCTACAAATGAAGAGTACGTACTGTACTTTGTTGAGAATTTGACATGGTTGTCCTTTCGTTCTACAGTGCTGTACTGGACAAGAGTTAGTCATGCATGGACGGTTTCCCGCGATCGGTTGACGCTGGCAGGTGTGATGAGATGGGTGTTACCTCCCCTCCCCTTTCCTCCACCCCCAACCTCCCCCCCCCTCCTTCCGTGCTGTTTTGCTCGTGGCAAACTTCCCCTCGGAAACGTCTCTGCTCAGGTTTGAAGGAGAGACGTTTCCCACAGCTGGGCCCTGCGCTCCCACAGATTGATTGTCCGGAGTTCGCTTGTCCAACATTGAGATTTCTTACCCCGTACTTTTAGCTTCTGAGTGTTGGAGATTATAAGTTCTGTAGGGATTCTATGGGGCTAACTGAGTGAGTTACATGTGTGATTCGCTTTTGAACGGTGTTGGGTAACCTTTCAACAAACCACCCTTGTGCTGTTCTACACTCTAACCTGACCCCATCATCCCTTCGACCCTACATTGCCTCATCCCTTCATTGCCAATGTCCAACTGTGTAGTGTACACGAGCCCCTCCAAGTGGGCAGTGTTGGGCTGGACAACGTCCTTGACCGACCACTGTCGCTCCTCCAGTGAACTGTGCAAGCACTGTGCAAGTACTGTACTCTGTGGGTGAGTCCCAAAACTATGTCGGGATGCGGCTCAATGAGGCTTGGTACAATATAGAACGTTCTATTTTGGATTTAGAATGGTTTGAAAGGGTAGTCCTAAAAGACGATACATGCGGGTGCCGCCCTGATCAAAAAGGTTGTCCGATCGATGCCAAATCAATAACACACCTGGCCAGTTGAGAGTAGCGTCCCATCCCGCAGCGCCTGGTCTCATTCTCCCGACCTGACTAATCAGCAACCAGAGCGCTTCCCCCATCCAATCCCATCTGACCACACCAGCGATTGGGGAACAGCCGATGGTGGCATGGCATGCAGCTGGACGCAGGTGTCGGACGAACCGCCTCTCCTTCCGTTTCTTCGATCCCATACTGTAATTCATTCCCTCCGTTCCATTCCATGATCCATCGCCCCCGCAGAACGACTGGAGACTGGAAAGTTCGCTTATGGTCATCCACGGTCTCTGTCCTCCCAGCTGTACACTTATGGTCACCCCATTCGCAGATCTCGAGCGACATTTTTCGTCGATTGGACGAAGAGCAGCACTTCCGCCAGCAAGCTCCTCTCTTCACGTATTAGTCAAGTCAATTGTCTGTTTAGCTCCTTCGCTTGACTAAACTCCCTTGTACGTGTACGGATGATTGACTAGCACCACGACGAGGCCTTGTTCATGTCAATATTCTGAACAAGAGGGCGTAAGTCTAGTTGCATGTCTTCTCTCGTACTGGACTGGAGGATCCAAATTCTGCGTGTTAGTCAGTCTCCCATGAGTTGATCAGAATTGCGAAGTTAGTCACACAATTCCAGCCACAACCAGCAGAACTAGGAAGCGCGTCTAAGTAAGTCTGAGGCTCTCCCACAGTTCAATCACAATACATTCTTAATTGATAGGTAGAAAGTTCCTCTTGGTACCTGGAGTTCAAGCATCTCTTCGACGCACCAATTGTACAGAAGTAACTGGTTATTAAGTTGGTTACTCCTCAGGAGTCTATCCTCTTCCGCCATGACCGTCCAGCCCACGTTCACCGAGTCCGCAGCGTGCTTCCTCTGCTCAGCCTTCTGCTCCTCACTCTCCTCCTCCCGCATCGCCCGGGCGCAGTGCGTCGTCGTCTGTCTCATCGCGCTCTGCTCCCTCACGTCCTTCGTCGGCTGGCATCGCGCCGGGCGCCAGCACTGCTCGCGATCAGCATGGGGCGGCTGCGACGGGACGGCGACGACGCGTGCGACGAATACCGTCCAACGACTTCTACTGCAACCTGGCCAAGTGTCTGTACCGTCAAATCCTTTGAATTTGAAAACGGCTGCTTCCGCGCGCGGCCCTTCTTCCGCGCGCGCGTCGAAGTGTCCGCGCGTGACCATCTTCTCAGCGCCCACGGCCTACAACGTCTCCTCCTACTCGCACCGCCGCGCGCTCATGTCGTGGCTGCGACTCGATCCCACGCCACGCGTCGTTCTGCTTGGCACGCACCCCTCGTTAGCGTCGGTGGCGGCGGAGTTTCCGAACCACGTGAGCGTGGATGCTGACGTGGACACGAATCTCGAAGGCACACCGTTGCTGAATTCCGTCCTCGCGCGCATCCAGGCCTTCGGCGCGGCGTCGTCTGACGCCGCGTCGCCCCACTGTGACTTAGCCATGCTAGTGGATCCGGACGTGCTCCTATTTAACGACGTCATATTCGCGGCGCGACGACTCGCGTCGCGATTTTCTTCTTTCGTCATGCTCTCGGCTCCCTGGGATGTCCACACCTTCCGCTTCTCGCTCGACCAACTCCCTCCGCACATCCACCCTTCGTCCTCCGCGAAAGCCGGCGCTGTTCCCTACCGTTCCTCAGCTGCATCTCGCGACAGGTTCCCCACCCACGTTGCTGCTCCCGCCCCGTCCAGCGGCTCCACCCGACGCCGCCGATCTGCACCGGTTTGGGACAGCCCGGATCAGGCGGACTCTGGCGAGGTCAACGAGCAGGAGATTCGTGACTACGTCCGCCAACGCGGGCAGCTGAACGTGGCGGCAGGTGCGACCGTCCTCATGTGGAACCGGCCCGCGGCGCCGCTTCTCCATCCCAGCGTCGCCATCCCGCCCTTCTTCCTCGGCCGCGGAAGCTACCTTCGCTGGCTCGTTGCGCGCGCCGCTGGCTCCCTCTCCGCCACCGCCGCCAACGGTACTAACGGTAACGGTGACGGTAACGTTACGGCGCAAGTTGGGCGCGCTGCGACGGAACTGGAGGCGGCTGACGAGGCTGGCGTTCCGGCGGCGGCGTGGCGGGATGACCCAGAGTCGCGATTCGCAGTGGATGCGACGGATGCGGTAACGGCGGTTCGCGTGTTCTCCGCGTTGGACGCGCAGCGCGAGGCGCAACTCGCCGTCGAGAAACGTCGCGGCGAAACCGGCGGCGTCGCCGAAAATAGCGTCGGAAATGGCGGCCGCCGGAAGAAGGCTGGATTCGTTTCGAGGCTCGCGCGCTCGATTTCGCCGCGGCAGGCTCCGCAGAGGCGGAGGCTTCTAGGCGGGGCGGAGAGCGCGCAAGCGGGGAGATCGCACCACAGCAGCGGAGGGTTACTATCCGGCGAGTCGTTCTCGTTCGGGCAGGGAGCTCTGTGGCAGCCGCTGCCCGGGAAAAACGCGAAGCGGTGGGAGGTGTACGCGAATGCGCACATGGCGCGAATTCAGCGGCTCGCTGGAGGTTTTAGCATCGAAGGTGGTTCTTTGAGCCACGCGCCGTGGCGACTCGCTCCCTGCTTCGTGCCTGGAGGTATGCTTATTCTTCTGTTGATGAGTCGTCAAGACATGCTACTTTCGCGTTCGATCGTGCTGCTTTGTTCTTCTGGCCAACGGTGGCCAGCGGTGTGCCGTTGCTCGCTCGATATCTAATCATTTTTATTTTCCCGCTCGTCTTGTACCAGGTGAATCCATGTGTCTTATGCGACGTCGCCGACCTGGTAACTGCTCGTGCGAACATACGCCGTTCGCAGGCAGGTCTACGGGCGACACGAGACCGTACGATGCGAACTGGTTATCGTGCGGCGAGACAGGGATGGAGCAGAATCTTGACGCGGATTTTCTCCGGGACTTGCGGTCAGGACCTCACGGCGCGGATCCCAGTCTATCCTCACTAGAAGATGAATTCGCTCTAGGATTAGAAGACATGGGTGGGCTTCGCTTGCCATCTTCAATCCAAACCGAGCCAACCGTGGCGAAAAGTAATTCGCTGACTGCAGCTGTCGCCGAAGCTGCACTTTCTGCTAGGAATGGTACGAAGCCCTCAACAAAAGGAAAGAAGTCCTTATCGTCGGAGAAGAAGCAAGCTGAAGCGCGTACAACCGCCCAAGTGGCGTTCTGGAGGGGTACCGAGGGCTTGCCGCATTCACTGGAGCAGCTGCTGCCGATTGTTGCGAGCGAGCAGCAAGCGGTCATCTTATTGGCAGCTTCGTTTGAAGACAGGGAGGCTGCTATGAACAGTATTTGCAGATTGCGCAACCTTGGGATGGCCAACTACATTTTGGCCGCTTTGGATGCGCGCATGTATGCGTATGCCTTCCTGCAAGGCATTCCCGTGTTCATGCATAAAGCATCGGTCTCAAATCAATCCGCGAATCCTCCTACTGCTGCTTTTGTCGCACCATCATCCAACGACACGTCATCTGCTTCCCTATTGGCTGCGGTTGCCCCAGTCCTAATGATGCAGATTCTCCGCCTGGGCTACTCCGTCCTGTGGGCTGACGTCCACACAGTCTGGTTCTCCAACCCCCTCCCATACCTCCTCTCGCTAGACTCCAACACTCTAGCCGTGCAAAGCATGTCATCTGACATGCATCACGCACCCAACTCTGCTCGGACCATAGGTGCTGGGGTCTTGTTTGCCCGGCCGTCGCACCTATCCCTCAAGGCGTTGGCCTCGGTGGTGGCTTATATGGCTGCAGTGAGAGCGGAGGCAGGCGAGGAGGGAGGGATTGGGGGAGGGAGTGGGGCGGAGGGCGAGGATGAAGTGGAGGAATACAGGGCGTTTCACGATGTGCTATGCGGAGAGGGCGGCAGACTCAAGGTGAGATCAAGCTGGTATTTCTACAGTATGATGGTTGGCCTCAGTTGCTTGTCCTCATCTACCGTATATCTTGCTCCTATTTCCCTCTCTTGCTTCAATGCCTTATCTGCAGTCCCCTCCACACACACTCATCCATTTCCTCCCTACCTTTGTCTCCTGCCTTCCCCTGTCCTCTCCTTTCTCTATCTTGGTTCAGGCTGGCAAGGACTTGTGCCGGTGGAACAATGGCTTTAAGGTAGTCTTCCTAGACAGAGGGCTCTTCCCTACTGGCAGCATCAAGGGCATCTGGGATACTCCTCCGAGCCTGGGAGGCTTGGGCCGGACCTGCGAGAAGCTTGGGTGCATTGCGGTGCAGAACAGTGGGATTGTTGGGCGAGCAAGCAGGGCGGAAAGGCTGCATGCGCATGGGCTTAGGGCGTATGATTCCAGGAGGCGCATGTGCATTCGTAGCTGGGGGGTGGTGGAGCAGCGAGAGGAGCAGGCTCAAAGACACTTCATGAGGAGGTAATGGGGAGCGCACATGATAGGGCTCTAGTATGGGCTAGCTGTTACCGTATGTGCCCTACTCCAGACTGTTGACCCAAATGGGTCATATTAAATTGGTGGTTCTCAGATGGCTAATGTAGCTGTAGGGTATGGTTTTTTTCCAGTGCTTTTAGAAGCGTTGCTGTAAATAGTTGGCAATCTGTCAATATTTGTAGCAGGTATAAGCAAATAAAGTGTCCCCAAAAATCTGCCTCATGCGTTTTTCTTACCGTATTCCCAAGCCTCTTATTCTTGAGTGTTTAATTCGCATACCAGACCTAATGTAAGGTTAGTTATTGTCATAGGGCGCTCAATATACCGTAATCAGATGCACACATAGTGATCTGTCAGATAGACGTAGAAACGTCCGAAGTATTAGCTGCACTGCACACTGCTGGAACTTGGGAAGGGATGTTACGGTAATTCCAACTTGTCATTGCTTATCAGCAAAGCATTTCATGGGCGACTGCACACTTGACATTGCAGAAGGAGCTGGGTGGGAATCCACGTTTTGTGGATTACCGGTAGCCCATGCATAGGTAGTAGACATGTACACAAGGTGCACCCACCAAGCAAACCATTTGGTAGGAGGGAATGATGTGGTGTACGTGTACCGTACTTCACCACATAGAGAGATGCACGAGAAGTAGGTACGTGCGCGGCGTCATGCCATGCCATGTGAACCTGTGACTGTCCCAGCGACCAAGCAGGACATATGGTGTGTTCGGTTCGGTGTGAGAAAGCAAGTACCATGCATACTACATACGGTACATACTGTACCACCATGCACTTGGAGAGGCATGGTGGAGAAGCGCAGCTTGCTCATGCATAAAAAGGAAAGAGAGGAGGAGATACAGTAGCAAACGGCAGCTGGCCTCCAGTGTGATCAGCTGAGACTGCAGGTAATTACCGTACACACGGTAAGCAGTTGCTACATCCAGTTGGCACTCTCTAGCATTGGTTCCAAAGTGCCACACGGTGATGCTTGGGCCTGCTTTCGAAGGTACAGCACTTGCGCTGACATGTGCTCCCCATACTCCTCAGACAGCCACGGGGCCTGTGACAGGAACACGCGCGAAAAGCGAGGGAAATGGGAAAGGATGTTTATGATTAGGTATGCATAAGCAGGAGGGTGTGTCAACTGAGCAAGGCACACATTAGAGACCTCGTGCAGCAACCACTGCAAGCCCCTTACCAGGAAGAACCAGGCAAATCGTACAGCACAAATCTGCACTGAGACTGTTCTTGTGCATGCCTTCCTGGCTTGCAGCTATCCAGTCTCAGTGCACGCACTCATTAGGTAGTCGTTCCGTGTGATGTTGCCACGGCGCTTGCTGCTGCTGCTGCTGCAGAAATTTAGAGGCGCCTCAGAGGCCGCACTGGCTTGCGTAAGGCTAGTGCGCGCACCAGGTAGTCGTTCCCGGTGACGTTGCCACGGCACTTGGTGCTGCTGCTGCAGGAGTTCTGAGGCGCATCAAAGGCCCCACCTCACTGGTTTGCAGCAATCCAGTCCACTCACTCACCAGGTAGTCGTTCCCGGTGACGTTGCCACGGCACTTGCTGCTGCTGCAGGAGCAGGGGAAGGGCTCGCTGTCCACACAGAAGCTGATGGGGAGGGGGGAGAGGGGAGAGGGGAGAGGGGGGAGGGGGGAGGGCAGAGGGCACAGCGCACAGGGGACAGAGGCACAGGCATAGTGGGGAGCACGGTGCAGGGTTGACAAGGATACACGGTGGAGATATTGTCAGATGGTTGACAGTATTCCCACCAATGGGCCTTGGTGTGCTAGGGAGACAACAAGCAGGGTTCCACAGGCAGTAAGAAAGAGACGCAGAAAGGGAGACCTCATCACACAGGGTTTTACAGAGACAAGGTCCAAGGCGCCAGAAAATCAAACCTTCCCGACTCACATGGCATAACCCTGCCCTCCTCGAAAAACAAGCGCCACAAGAAACACTACCAAAGCGCCGGAAAAATCATACCAAGTCAAACTCCTTCAACCTGATTCAAACTTGTTCAACTCACGTGGCATAGTCGATTGTGATCTGCTCGCCCTTGCCTATCGCCCTCCGCGCCACCACATTCAGACCCTCCAACCACGCGTTCGGGTCACAGGAGTGGTTCAAAGGCTTCCAGTCCTCTGCCCTGGGGCTCCACATAGCCCACACCCCCGGCCCCACCGGCCACGCATACTGCCGGAACCACAGCTGCTGCTGCGCCGACCAGTGCTTCTCCACATGCTGACGTGTCACCAGGTGCACTGGGGCCTCTTCCAGGAGCTCGATTGTGTCACCTGGGGTAAAGTCACGGGCGGCGAAGAGGCCGAAGCTGGGCGGGGAGTAGGGGCTAGCGGGCTTGTGTAGGACGGTGGGGTTGAGCTGGGAGTCATTGGCAGCAGATACTACTGCAGAGGTTTCAGCAGGTGCAGAGGAGGCAGCAGATGCTGAAGGTGCAGGTGCTGCAGGCAAAGATGTACTGTTTTGAGGAGTAGCAGGTGTACTGGAGCACTGCTTAACGAGGACAGAGGGCTGCCGGCGCTCCCAGCGCTGCACAGCGGCCAGCAGGATGCGGCGCAGAAAGGAGCGGTGGTCGTTGGAGGGGTCGAGCGAGAGGATAAAGTCCGCACTTCCCTGCTGGTCCGGAGGGTAGAAGATGCCGCAGTTGGGGTTCATCTCGAGAAAGTAGATGTTTCCTTCGGCATCAGCTCGAATGTCAAGCCTGGATGTTCGGTGTGAGGAGGGAATAGACGGAGAGCAGGGGATGCAGGGACAACAAAGTGAGTCAGAATGAGGGGAAAGACAAACAAATACGACAAGAGACAAAGGAGGGGGCAATAGCAAGACATGAGAATCATTGCCACATCTTGAAAATCTCCAAAATACATTAATATAATCATGCCATTGCCTCATCAAATCAACTTCTTACACCGCGAAAGTGGGTGTGGTATGAAGGGCAGTACGGTGATGGTGGCTGATATATCTGCTCTTCTAGCCCAAATACCAACACGACACCCATGTTGCTCACCTTCCATAGCCAACACCCCCGAGCGCAGCGAACATGGTAGCAGCCATGCTCCTTAGCTTCGCATCCATGCCCTCATCAGCCACGCGGCGCCACTGCAGTCCCTCATGCTCCACCCACTTGAGGTCAAAGTGCTTGAACTCCTCTCCTGGAGGAAACCCACACTCCACTGGCGCGTATACGAACACACCGCCTGATTGCTTCGCGCTTGCAAGTTTCTGCTCTGCTGATGCTGCTGCTGCTGCTGCCTCCGCTTCAGGATCCTCTGACACAAGCACAGTGAACTCACGCCCTGCCACAAACTCCTCCACCATAGCGGACCCAAAACTCGTTATCATCACACCCGCTTGCGTTTTCAGCTCCTCTACAGTCCCGCACTTGGAATCCCGCGTCATCCCCACGCTATTATACCCGCTCGCGTGCTTCACAATCACAGGCATATGAAGCACCCTCGCAGCTTCCTCCACATCCCGCAAATCATAGCACACGCGCCAGGGGGGAGTCGGAACCCCGTGATAAACGGCCACGATCTTCATCTGCTCCTTACTCGGCTCATAGCACCGGGAATCCGCCCCTGTGAACGGCACGTTGAGGCGCTCTAGTGCCTGCACGACCTCTATCCCCGGCCGATCCTCATCCCACGCTCCGTCGCAGAGATTCAGGAACACATCGAACGGTGCAGATGCGTCGGTAGAGTCCTCATCATCCGCGGCGCTGCTGCCATTGCTGGAACCGTCGCTGCTGCTGGAACTCGCAGTGCGGCTCGCGGAACTCCTTGAACTCGTGGAAGCGGAGCTGTCTCCGCTGAAACGAGCATCACGTGGAGTGGTAACAGCAGAACTAGTACTGGTAATAGGATTAGGATTAGTAGTACTAGCACCGCCACTACTGGTGATGCTCGTCGTGGTACTATCATTCTGCTCGTCAGCTGAGACCAGCGGCGCCAGCGGCGGCTGTTCTCCTTTCGTCAGGCCCTGCGGGAGCGGGTTGTTGCACGAGGGGAGTCCATTACCTGGGGCTAGTTGCCCTCCCGAGGGTAATTTACCCGCGAATTGACGACTGGATTGCTGGCGGCGAGTGAGCGCGATGAGCTGCTTAACGGCTGTGGCCTTATGCAGGTGAACGGACGTGACATGGTACCCTGGCAAGTCTAGCCACAGCTGAGGAACGGCGTCCGGATCGAGCCCGTTGCAGGGCGAGAGCGATCCATCGTACGACGGGTGGAGCACGCAGATCTTCATGTCAACGGCTGCGATCGCTTGATAGCTTTGCAGGTCACGGGCGGAATAGCCTAGGATTCAGGCTGTTTGGTGGCGAGCAGAAGAATAAGAATTCTGCGCCTCGAGGAGGTGTTCAGATCAAACTGGGAAGACGAAAAAGCGTTGAAAAATGCAGGAAATCTCGTGATCGCGCAATCTTCGCGTTTCTCGTCAGATGGGAACGGAAGATATAGGAAGATGGTGGCGAAAACCGTCGGATGTAAAATCGGACGACGCTTGCCAAAAGGGTAGGGCTAGGAAGGAAGCAAGGACAGGCTGCTAGCACGAGGAAATTTGTTCTTCTTCCCTCGCCATCCCCAATTCGTTGTGAATCGAAGTTGGATGCTTGATCGCGATACTCCCTCTCCCCGAAGCTCACGTTTCCCGAACCGCTTCCCAAACCGCTCCCCTCCCTCTCCCCCGCTCCGTCATCCGCCTCTCGCATTCTAGAGATCTGCACACTTGGGATAACCGTTGGAGCTTGGACGAGAGCGCGCCACGGAAGTGTCAAATGAACCCTAATGACGGGAGGATTCGGTTTCGCATGAGCGCCAGACGACGCTACCATGGCTCTCCCACTCGCCTGCGGGGCTACCCCTAAATGCGATACGCGACATGCATGTGTAACCTCGCGCTCGCTGGCCAGTACAATACACGCCACGCTCGATGATTCTGTCACTGGATGCGGCTCGAGTGGATAGAGACGACAACATCGGGGCTCGAGAACTTCGGCAGTAGGCTGAAGTGGTTTTGGGAAATGCAGCTGAACTGATGAAACTTGAGAGCTGCATTCAATCCGCGATCGCGCAGCACGAGTTTCAGCTGGACTTCTGGACTTCGTTTCTATGTCGTCGAGTGTGTTTCTAGCGAAACAGCAGGAGAGCGTGTAACATTATAGCTCAGGACATTCGCCTGTATTCGCTAAAGACCACCTCTACTCGATCAGGCGACCAAACAGTGGCGAAACGAGCTCCCAACTCGTTGCGACAGTCATGGACGAAACCATTAATTTCGTGACAGCTGGGTCGCAACCACTATGCGAACGACGGTCGCCACACGGGAGCTGGTTCGCGCATTTCCAACTGGTTGTGGTTGAGGTTGAATTGCTTTGGCAGTGGTTGGGCAGCGAATCGTGGAGTGTCGTGGAGGGGAGGTTTCATGTCGGTTGCTGTTGTGTTGGTCAGTGTCGAGTTATTGCTCGCCTCAAATAGTATAGTGACAGATACAACAACACTAATACAGAATAGGTTTCTAGCATACAGTACCACAAGCTCCTTCCAATTGTCCCATGCTCTTTTAGCCATAATGTATGTCATTTCAGTCTACGGCACGTTCAAAACTTGAGTTTTACGCCCAATAAGTAGGAAGATATACAACCAATATGAGCTCCTTGTTATTGCATAGATTACCATTCTCTTCTCAGTTTCTTGAAACCCTCGTTTGTCATTCCATTGTGCACAATTAAAACAAAACTTATGACCAATGTATTGATGAGATATTTCTTAATGTTCTCGCTGGTTCAGCCTACTGGGCTCGTTCCAAATCACCCACGTACTTGCCTAGCTATTTTGTTGCCTATAATAGCATCGTTTGAGTGCCTTCACTTGACCTCTCTCAAAGTTCTGCGTAACTCGCCTTTTAGAGGGGATCCAGGTGGTACGATTCGCCTGGTACGCGGTCGAATTCGTTGCGTCTGGGTGAAATAGACGATGAACAACAAATACCGCTTTCCACCGTGTGGAGCCGTCCTGAGCCACGAAGCATGAACATTTTATAAATGTACGAGCTGGGTATCCCCGAAAGCCTTCCATTTTATTGAGAGTCAAACCACACGTTTTGAGTGTGTTGATGGCTCAAAGGGCAGGTCATGAAAAGTTCGTTCTCTGTTCATGCATAGACATACTTTCGGGCTGGTGAGTAGCGGTTCTAGGCGGTGAATCGAAGAACCGCTCTAGAATGCACAATATTGTACTCAACCGCTTGTGTTGAACTGAAATAGGAAAAACTTTTCCAGACCTACCCACATGGCGAGCGAACGCGTTCACGCATATCACGTCACATGATACGTACAGAATATTAGGGCAGAGGGCAGAACAAACATATAACCCAATCGGAACAGGATGCGACTCGGAACGACTTCAATTATTGCTGATCTCACGAATTTCAAAAGAATTTCAAGCCAAGCACCATCTTCAAGCGTGATACTACGCAAGCGTTCAATATACTAGGATATGATCGTCCCCCCCCCCCACGCCACCAACTTTAGTACACAGGGACAGAACAACGATCGGTCAGAGCCAGAACTGCGGCAGGCGCGTGACATCACTCATCCTGATTATTGCATTGGTAGCAGCCTGTTTCTTAGGAGACTCTTGTGGGGCGAAGGTATCGAAAAGGTCACCTCACTGGAACTCTTTTTCAATCGCGTCGACGTGGCGTGTTCACGAGTTCGGCGCTGTGATCCTGTCGTGTCCGTCGCCGCCTGACATTACTTGGATCCTTATCCAGCAGGACGCGGCGCGGCACATTCAGGAAGCCCCTCCTTTCAATCCCGAGGAGCGCCATGGCTCGCGATGACACTGCTGACGAGAGACCCTCGCGGCTGTCTGCGGAGTCTGCGCAAGAAGCAAGCGGTTCCCTCAGGCTGGTCGAATGGATTCAACTCCAAGACGGAAGGAACGATGCCGATTCGCGCGATAACGTAACGGTCACTGTCACGGTACCGACGCCGCCGGTGGCTGTAGGAGGGGAATCTGCAGACGAAGGCTCGGCTAATGCCGAGAGAGACTCGCCGCCGCGTGGCTCGGAGTCCCGGAGCGGCTGGTTTTGGAGCAGCCTGTTACGTGGCGCGAATCGCGCCACCCGTCCGTCTCTACCGCGGGGAGAGGACCAACGTGGCGGCAGCGCGATCTGCGAGGACGACCTTCCGCTGATTGGCGGCGTAAGAATTGGTACCGACTTCAAGCAATCATCTGCGCTGCTACGGAGCGAGTCGTCTAGCTCCAGGAAATCGGAAAATAGCAGCCGCAGCAGCAGCGGGAGCAGCAGCAGCGGGAGCAGCAGCAGGAGCAGCGGAAGCACCTGTGGCAGCAGCCGCGGCAGCCGCAGCACCGGCAGCAGCAGCAGCACGAGCAGCAGCAGTGAATCTCTATCATCGGACAGCGAGAGCGAGAGCGATGATGAAGGCAGCATGGTGACGGTGGCACTAGAAATGGAGGGCACCTCTCTAAAGAAACATCAGGCCAAGGCGGCGGCAGAAGAGTCGCCCCCATTTGACTCATTTGACTCGTTTGACTCGGAGTCATTTGATCCGAACGCCAAGGAGCCATTTCCTGCCGCCTTGGCTGCCCGCCCTGCCCATCCCGCTGCTCTGCATGGTGCGTTGACCAGGTCACGTCCCGAATCTTTAGCTTCCTTGACTCTGAAAACTACAGGGGTCAGAAAACCAAAAACTGCACAGTTACTTTTCCGCAGTTTTCTGCACAGGCCTTTTTCGCGATGTCTCCTTTGCGTCTTCTCTTCTCTCACTTCCTCCCCTCCCTCTTCCTCACTTTCCAATCTCCATCTTGCAATTCCCTCTCTTCCCTCTCCACCGCCGCTCTCCACTCCCCGCCTTGTCCCTCTGCGGCCGCAGCCTTTGATTTTACCAGTGCCTTGTACCGCCTTCCTTCTCCATTCCCTTTCTCGCCTGCCTCTCCGCCTCTGCAGCTCTGTACTGGACGCACGCTTTCAACTGCTTCGGCGAGCAGTCGTGGCGCTTCGCCAGAGCGGCCCTGCTCTCGTTATTGTTTCGCTCGTTACTGCCAGTGGCGGTGGCAAGCTTTGTCAGCCGGGTGAGAACACGCGGCTATGCCCTCTCACACTGGCACACATCACATGCACACATACGCACGCATCACATGCCGTGACTCATCACATGTACACATGCTCTCCCCACCTTTCTTCCCTCTTCTCTCTCTCTCTTTCCGCCTACATCTCTTCCCATCCCCTCCCCCTCCCCCCTCTTCGCCTCCCCCGCATCTCAACTCGTCTGTCCTATAGCTGGTGGTATTCGCAGCATGCCCTACCATAGGAGGCCTCATGGACTCAGCCCTCCATCTCTTCCCCTCCCCCTTCCCCTCTTCGCCTCCCCCGCATCCCAACTCGTCTGTCCAATAGCTGGTGGTATTCGCAGCATGCCCCGCCATAGGAGGCCTCATGGACTCGGCTCCGAGAGTGCGAGCCTACAGCACTCTCGTCTTTGTCCAGGTAAGCATGCAGTTCCCTCAAGGCTGTTCAAATGAGCATGATAGTTCAGTATGGAGTGAGTTCAGTTTTCAGTGTGTGGAGTGGCTTCAGTTTTCAACTATGTGCTAACAGATCTTGCCGCCCTTACGCCGTCCATTCAATCCCCCTTCTGTCCTCGTCATGCCTCCAAAGCACACCCCCTCATCTCCTCCTCCCGCCTTCCCCCCTCCACCCGCCCAATCTCCGGCCCTCCTTTCTCTTCTCCTCCCACCCCGTCGCCTTTCCACCTCCTCCTCCACTCGTCTCTCGCTCTCCCCACAGTCCACAGCAATGGTTGTCGCAGCAACGGCCATGATACATGCCTTTCATCTCGTCACCCCTGCAGCAGCGGCGGTAGCAGCAGCAGCAGCAGCAGGTGCTGCCGGCACAGCTGCCACATCAGCTGCCGCATCGTCAGCAGCCATGTCAGCGGCCACATCAGCTGTCACGTCAACTGCCACGTCAGCGCTCTCTGCTGTCCCCGCAACAGCTGTGCTACAGCAGGGGTGGTTCATTGTGCTGGTGGTGGCGGGCTGTGTGGATAAGCTAATGGGGATGGCCGCGGGAGTGGCGTTTGAGAATGACTGGGTCCTCGTGGTGAGCCCAGCACACGCACAACACACGCACAACACACGCACCTGTGCCACATACGTGCTTGCTCACACACACATGCGCATCCATGTTCGTACATGCTCCCACAAAGCACACACAAGCTCTCTCCTTTGCTTCACTGCCATGCATCTTCTCTCCCGTTGCCTATCTCCCCACCCACTCTCCCCGCCCATTCTGCCCGGCCCCTCTCCCCGCCCCCTCTCCTCATCCCTCTTCCCGTCTGTCCCCTCGCCCTCTCCTCCCACGCGCAACTCGCAACCCTCAGCTTGTTGGACCGGATCGCCCCGTGCCATTGGCGAACGCCAACGCCATGCTCAGGCGGGCGGAACAGAGCTGCGAGGTGAGACACGCCATAAACGATTGCACCTGCGAGCATTGATACTGCTATAGCTGCGAGCTGTGAGCCGCGAGCTGCAAGCTGTGAGCTATGAGCCGTGAGGGCATTTATCGCGCTACCATGTTCCAAGTGTCATGTGGGTGTACCAGAGGTGTGCGTGAGGTGCAGGAGAGTTGCCTTTCCTTGAAAAGGGGCTCTTTTAAGGAGAGTCAGTTTCGGAAAGCGCAGCTTGCAGGTGGGTGGAACCAGTTATAGTCAACACCATCCCTGGACTTGATTACTAGTGCAATAAGGGCAGGGATGGCGTCACTTTCACAGACAAATCCCATCCTTTATCTCCCTTGCTCTCCCATCTGCTACACTCTTCTGGTACCGTACCTTACTCTCCCCCTCGCTCCACGCCACGTGCAGGTGGCAGCAGCGCTCATCTTTGGATGGCTCATTGCAGCCTGGGGCCCGCTGGTATGCGCCAAAGCATGCCTCGCCGTCGTTGCACTCTCCCTCCCTGCCATGGTGCGTATTCACCCCAAGAATGCTCAAAAGCATACTCCATACTCGATACTGAATATTGGATACTGGATTCCTTTTGAGAAATTTCAAAAGTCTCATTGCACTCTCCCTCCCTTCCATGGTGTAAGCTTACCCTTCCTTCCGCGTGTGAGCTTACCGCACCCTGCCTGCATGTCTTCATGTCTTCTCTCTCTCTTTCCTTCCCTCCCTCCCTCTCCCCCTCCCTCCTTCCCCCCTCCCACCCCCCCATCCCCTTCTCGCCCCAACACCCCTCCCCCTCTCGTCCCCCCCTTTCCCTCTCACTCGCACACGCACACGTACACACGCACGCACACCTCATCCCCACGGCAGCTCGCTCTCACGCGCCTGACAAACCATCTCTCCAATGGAGCCATCAGCCAGTCTCGGACCCTCGAAACGTCCCCTGAATCGACACAAGGATCGTTGCGAACGGCATTCGGGTCGATTAGGATAACACCGGGGAGTTTTCGGTCAACACCACAATCACTTCGGCTGACGCTCGGTTCGTTTCGATCGACGCAAGGGTCGATTAGGTCTACGCCAGAATCACTTCGGTTGATTCCAGATTCGCCACATGACTGTGTTGTTAGCGTCGATTGCAATACTCCTGATGCTGCTGATGCTGCTGCTGCTGATGCTGCTGCTGCTGATGCTGCTGCTGCTGATGCTGCTGCTGCTGCTGCTGCTGCTGCTGCTGCTGCTGCTGCTGCTGCTGCTGCTGATGCTGATGGTGGTGTCCTTGCTTCTGGACCACCCCCAGCATCGCTCTGCATGGTAGCCGTTGCAGCAGCACTAGCACCAGCATCAACACCACCAGAAGCAGCAGAAGCAGCAGCAGAAGCAGCAGCAGCAGCAGCAGCAGCAGCAGCAGCAGCAGCAGCAGCAGCAGCAGCAGCAGCAGCAGCAGCAGCAGCAGCAGCGGCAGCAGCGGCAGCAGCAGAGGCGATCCCTCACCCTGCCCATTCATCCCAGCAGGCACTTCCAAGAAGCTCAGCAGTAGGAGCACCAGCAGAGGGGATGGGAAGTCCAGATGGGATGGGAATTTCAGTGGCAGGCGTGGCAGCATCAGCAGTGGTGGACGCAGTGGGCGGGTTGAAACGGGTGGTTGAAGCAATGGGGAAGGGGTTTCGAAGCTATGTGAAACAGCTGGTGATGCCTGCGAGTATGGCGTATGTGCTTCTGTGCTTGAATGGTGTTCTCACACCCGGGGGACTCATGACCTCCTACCTCACGCTCCATGGTGAGTGCGTCACTCCACACGCATGTACGCACATATCCACAGAGATCAATGCGCGCATGAACGCACATACGCATGCACACACACATGCACGCATTCTCACGCACACATGCACCCACGCACGCACACACACCGCGCCCACAACTCCACCTGAACCCACTGCCAAGCTATATCCCAAACTTCAACCCCCAAACCCCAAACCCTGATACTGGCAGGGGTGCACATGGGAGTGATCGGCGAGTTCAACAGCGCGTGTGCCGCCATGGGATTCGTGGCTACGTTCGTGTCGTCGCCGCTCGTCGCTCACCTTGGCGTTCTACAGGTGAAGTGGGAGAGGCAAGGGGCGATGCTGAGAGAGGGAAGGGGAAAGGGTGCGGGCGGTGGGAAGGATTGTGTGTTGCGAGATCAACAAGCACTTGGATGACTATAGAACGTGAGATGAAACAAGGATTAGATGCCAACGCTCTCTCGCTCCTCCTCCTTAGCGTCCCCCATCTTCTATCGTCCTCTCCCTTTTCTTTATCTCTTCTCTCCTCCGCATCTGCCCGTCAGGAAAACCCTCACACCCATCCCTCACTTCCCTCTTTTCTGTTTCGATCCTGTCTCTACCTTCCTCTCTCCCTCCTCTCCCATCCGTCTCTCCCTCTGCTCTCTCTCCCTCCCAGGCTGGCAGTGCGGCGCTGATCTATCAAGCGCTGTTGGTCTTCCTCTCGCTTCTCACCTTCTCGTCGATCTCGTTCGCGCCGCCTTCTCTGCACCAAGGCCTGCTGCTGCTCTTCCTCCTCATCATAGTGAGTCTGCTACTATCGAGGAACTCCTTACTGCAGTATCTCCCATCATGCTATACCTATCGCGGCACTTCTTATCGTGGTGACGGGAACACGCCGAAAAAGCGCCGGCCACTGATCGAAAAGCGCCGAATCCCCACTTGCCCACCTCCCCGCCACCCCTATCCCTGGCAGGTGCTCTCCCGCGTGGGCCACTTGACATTCGAGCTGGCCTAATCAACCCCGTTCCCCACCTCGTCGCCACCCCTATTCCCCGCCAGGTGCTGTCCCGCGTGGGCCACTGGATGTTCGAAATTGTTGGCACACAAGTTATCCAGACGGCCGTTCCTGCCGCATCCGCCAACTCATTCGGATCCACACATAGGGCGCTCGCCAGTTTCGCAGAGCTTCTCATGTTTGCGCTCGCCATAGTTCTCCACGATCCGCGGTATTTCGGCGCGCTCGTGCTCATGTCCGTTGCTGCCATCTTCGCCGCGGCTGCGCTCTACTGCTCCTGGCTGGCTTGGCCGAACCCGAGGCTGGCAGAGTTATTTCCGAACCAGCCGGAGGCTTGGTGGAGGAAGGTGTCGTGTGGAGAAACGAAGTTGGAAGAAAAGGAGAGGGTGGAAAAAGCTCGGTTGGGTGGGCAAGAGATGCAGATTGGGCGAAATACAGGAAGTGGAAAGCTTTTGGGGGTGGAGTTGTGCGGTGGTGGTGATCATGTGGTGATCCAGAGCAATGCAGAGGCGCTAATTGCTACTGCGGGGTTTCGGGTTTGAACTTCGAAAATTGATGGGTATGATGGTGTAGAGCACCTCCGATATAAGCCGCAGCGGTTACTCGAGCATGTTCGCTGATTGACTCGCCTTCTCTTCAGACAGCTCTGAGGGTATATGTATCGTAGCACCATGTGTGAAGAATGTGTGGTGCATGTAGATGGTAATTTATGATAGTGGGTTAGTTTTAATATTGGAATTCTCCTGGTGGGCTGGGTCTTGAAGTGTATTCATGATGTAGTGTATTGTGTCATGTAAAATATTATGCTCTTAGAATCTACGTAACAAGTCAATTTGAATGATGTATCGGATGTTAGAATAAGGAAGAGATATTCAACATGATAAGTCTGCTAGAGTAAATAGCGGAGGTGTTTATAGTACAACCTTCTTGATAGTGAATGTAAATTACAAGACTGATTATAATGAAACATTACATGCAATATCTACCGTATTACCCCGGACCCGGATATAGGCGCATATGCGCTTATAATAAATTCGATTTTTTTAGGGGCGGCGCTTGTAATTGAGTAACGGCCATAAGTGCCGGCGCTTATATGATGGCAAAAATGAATTTATTATTTATATGTACCAAATCGAAGCCCGCAATAAGGCGAGCACAATTGTGTAACGTGCGCGTGGGATCATGCATGAAATCCCGCCGAAAACTGCCGCGCTTCGATTTCCGACCGCACAAAGCCCGTCCAGGAGCAGCACACCTGCCAGCGCTGACGTTAAAGTTGCCATGCGGCCCAATCAGGCTTTCACGCGCTGGCAAGCAGCTGCATTTCACCCGAACCATCGAGAAGGGGCTGGAATGCACTGCCAGCGCAGCATGTTCGTGCCGCGATACCCTCCTCTCCGGGTTCAGACAGGGGGTACCCGTCTCTCCCCGACGAGGACCCCGAGGCGCTAACCAGAAGGGGTCCCTTTGAATCTCTCATTTGTTCTACCGTTCTGTCAGTTTCTCGTTCAGTTTCTTGGTCACTCCCGCCCGTGTCAAATGATGTATTTGCTATATATGTTTAGGCTGTAGTGGGGTAGCCAATATGGGGTACAGCCCCTTTTAGGGTTTCATATTTGTACCCAACTCTTTCATAGTTCATTCATTCCTGCTGCTAGATTCTAACATGGTTTCAGAGCACTAGGTCCGTAGGACCGTCTTTTTTTTCCGGGCCCACCTACCGTTGCGATTACCACGCTACCCCACGTGTTGCCTGCCTTGCCTTGTGATGTGCTGCGCTGCGCGCGCCGTCCTGCAGCCCTCGCGCTGCCTACTGCTGCCCTAGGCCAGCGCGCCGCCCCTATAGGCCCGTAAGGCCCGCGCGCCGCCCCTGCAGACTCGTACGGCCCGCACGTCGCCCCTGCAGGCCCGTCAGGCCCGCGAGCCGCCCCTGCAGGCCCGTCAGGCCCGCGAGCCGCCCCTGCAGGTCCGTCAGGCCAGAGCGCCGCCCCTCCTCGCGGCCACGACCTGCCACTGACGCGGCCCCACCTGGCCCCGCCCTGCAGCAGCTCGCGCGCGGCTCGATGCTGCTCCGCGCGCCGCGTCTGCAGCCCGCGCTGCGTGCTGCAGCCCCGCGCGTCGCACTGCAGCCCCGCGCGTCGCGCTGCAGCCTCGCGCGTCGCGCTGCAGCCCCGCGCGTCGCGTCAGCTGCCCGCACGTCGCGCTGCAGCCCCGCGCGCCGCGGCTGCCGTCCTCGCGCATCTCTCGGCGGCTTCGCGCGCTGCGCCCGTAGCTCGCGTTGCGCGCTGCAGGCCCGCGTGCCGCGGCTGCCCCTGTTCGTCGCGGCGCCCCCCCCTGGACGTCGCCCCGGCCTGTCGCGACGCCCCTCCTCTGGACGCCGCCCCTTGCCACAGTCGCGGCCCCGCCCTGCAGCAGCTGCCGCGGAGCCTTCTGCCGCCGTCACGGCCCCGCCTTGCAGCAGCTGCCGCGGAGCCTCCTGCAGCTGTCACGGCCCCGCCCTGCAGCAGCTGTCGCGGACCTGCCCTACCGCCGACGCGGCCCTGCTCTGCCGCAGCTGTCGTGGCCCCGCCGTCGCCGCCGTCGTGCGCCTCCCCGGCTGCCGCCCGCCGAGCGCCGGCCCTGACCGCCACTGGTGAGCACCTCCCTTGTTCGCGCACTGTAGCGCCACCTGCCTGCCTGCCTGCCGCGCCTGCCCTGCCCGCGCTGCTACTGCTGCTACTGCTGCTCCTTCTGTTACTACTGCTAGACTGCTGCTGCTGCTGCTGCTACTACTGCTACTGCTGCTACTGGCGGTGGCCAGATGCTGCTCCAGCGACGTCCGCGCAAGTCTCTCACGCCCCAGCAGCTTCGTGAGTGGTACACTAGTTGGGGTTGTGGCTGTAGCCGTCGTGGCTGTCGCCCTGGAGCTGGTCAGTCGGGAGCGTCTGGCAGTGGCCAGCTGCGGCTGCAGCGGCGTCCCGGCGAGACACTTACGCCCCAGCAGCTTCGTGAGTGGTACGCTCAGAGTAGAGGGTCTTTGAGTACCGTTCGCTGCCCGTACGTCATTCGCACAGGTGATCGGATGGGTCAGACTTGCGGGACGCTTAGTCACACACAGTCCCGCTGCTTCGCCCGTCTGAGCGACGCCTGGCGTACCGAGTTTGGCGACGAGGCTGAGCTCCCCGACTGGGTGGAGCTGCTTGGGCAGAGGGTAGATATATTTGCTCTTGACTATGATGCTATTCTCACTGCCATGTATGCATTGCCTACTAGTGCTGACCGTGCCTGTTACCTGTGCGTACCGCCTGACCCAGGTATAGAGCCTGCTGCTCTCGGTGCTGGTGAGGCTGCTGCTCTAGGTGCTCGTGCGTCTCCTGCTCTAGGTGCTGGTGAGGCTGCTGCTCTAGGTGCTAGTGCGTCTCCTGCTCTGGGTGCTGGTGAGGCTGCTGCTCCAGGTGCTGGTGAGTCTGCACTCTCTGGTACTGCGCCTGCTGAGGCCTTGTACACCTTCACACTTGACTCAGGTTCTTCCCGCTCCTTCTTTCGCGACAGCACCACCCTCACGCCGCTCAGCCGGCCGGTTCCAGTCTCCCTGGCAGACCCCTCTGGGGGTCCAGTCCTTGCGCACTCCTCCACGGTCCTGCCGTGTCCGGCGGTCCCGTCTGGCTCCCTGTCAGGTCTTCACCTCCCCTCGTTCTCTACGAACTTGGTGAGTGGTGCTGACCTCCAGGACCAGTGGGTTGACCAGTTCACTCCTGGAGGTCAGCGCATGACCTACTGTACGTGCTCCCGGACGGGCAGGCACCTGGCCACGTTTACCCGTGCGCCTGGCTCGAGTCTGTACACACTGACTACTGTGTCCCCTCAGGTCGCTGCGTCAGCGTCTGCGTCAGGTCAGCTAGCGGCCCCCTGCTCGTGTCGCGCTTTGTCGCACCAGAACCTCCTTTGGCACCACCGCCTTGGTCACCCCTCGGTGCAGCGCCTTCGTAGCATGCACCGCCGTGTCCTTGTCTCTGGTCTTCCCAGGGTTCTCCCTCCCCTCCCACCCTCGCCTGCTCCTCCCTGTCTTCCCTGTGTTGAGGGGCGGCAACGCGCCGCTCCTCACTCCTCCTCGTTCCCTCCCACAGAGGCTCCCCTGCAGACTCTCCACCTGGACGTGTGGGGCCCAGCCCGCGTCCGTGGACAGGGCCACGAGCGGTACTTCCTGCTGGTCGTCGACGACTACACGCGTTACACCACGGTCTTCCCCTTGCAGCGCAAGGGGGATGTCCCTGATGTTTTGATCCCCTGGATCCGCGCTGTTCGTCTCCAGCTCCGCGAGCGGTTCCAGTCGGACTTTCCTGTCCTGCGTCTGCACTCTGACAGAGGTGGTGAGTTCTCCTCAGACCTCTTGGCAGCCTTCTGTGCGGAGCACGGCATCCGCCAGACGTTCACGCTTCCGGCCTCTCCGCAGCAGAATGGGGTTGCTGAGCGCCGCATTGGCTTAGTCATGGAGGTCGCTCGTACCTCCATGATCCATGCTGCTGCCCCCCATTTTCTGTGGCCGTTTGCGGTCCGGTACGCCGCGCATCAGCTCAACCTCTGGCCCCGTGTCTCCTTGCCGGAGACCTCGCCCACACTGCTGTGGACGGGGAAGGTTGGCGATGCGTCGCGTTTCCGGGTCTGGGGTGCTCGTGCCTTTGTCCGCGATACCACCGCGGACAAGCTCTCCACCCGCGCTGTTCCCTGTGTCTTCCTTGGCTTTGTCCCTGACGCGCCTGGTTGGCAGTTTTACCACCCCACCTCGTGCCGTGTCTTCCCCTCTCAGGACGTCACGTTCGACGAGTCGGTTCCCTTTTACCGTCTCTTCCCCTACCGCACTGCCCCTCTCCCCCCCCCGCCGCTCTTCCTC